ATGGAATCGTCAAGAACTGAGCTAGCTTAGTGTATGACTGACTATATGCGATGCTGAAAGTACAGGTGATGCTGATGAGGGCGGCAAAAGGCACCATGAGTACTCCTTTGATGTGAGCGTCTGTAATATTGTTGTCGTCCTTTCGGAGGCGGAGCAGAGCATCCAAGGCGTCTTCACCATCGTCGGATCGCCGCCTCCTTGGATCGAGATGGTCATCTATGAGTCGTCGGTAGAAAGCATCGAGCTTAAGAAAGACATCTTGAAGCCTGGCTTGCGTTCCTCTGATCACGTCCACCCACCCGAGCATGGCGAAGTAGTCTGCTACGAAGAAGGTGGCAAAGATTTCTTCACTCTCTTTGGCGGTGCTGTGGAAACCGTCGTGGCAGCGATCGCCAAAGGCGGTCCTGCAAGTGATATTGGCAGTCAGAGAGAGCAGCTCCTCACTCAGGTTGATGACGACCGTGTTGGGAGCACGAGAACGGATCGATTCCATGGTTCTCTGGACCTCGTCCTCTCTCACGGGTCTAAAGGACGTGATCTTCTTGGTGGCGAAGAGCTCCGCCACGCAAATCTTCCGCAGATCCCTCCAATGGCTTCCGTACGGGGCGAAGGCCACGTCGGAGCCGCCGAAGGAGAGTTTCGCGGTGGAGATGGTGCGAGGCCGGCTGCAGCACTCGAGGTCGTGGGTTCTGAGGACTTGCTCGGCCGACCCCGCGGAAGAGACGACCACGGCGGGGACATGGCCAAGCTTCAAGCGCATGACAGGGCCGTGTCGCTTGGAGAGTTCCCACAGGGACTGGTGCAGGAGGCTGCGGCCCAACTGGTGGAGGTTGCCGATGATGGGGAGCGTGTTTGGCCCTGGTGGGAGCTTCCATGCTGCGTTACCTTTCGTCCTCCTACCTGAGAAGAGAAGTAAGGTGAGCAGAGGGAGGAGGAGAAGGAGAGAGATGTGAAGAGCTGCCATTGTGGAGCGCTACACTTTCCACACGCAAGCAAGCAGCAGAAACGCTTATTTGGGGTTTGATCCTGTGGTGGTGTAGAATCAAAGTGATTGACTGATTTGTGTGGGCTTCCGATGGTGAAGTAAGAGGCTATGGTATCGCACCGAAGACTTTCTAGCCAAAAGATGAGGTCACCACAAAGAAATATATCAAGGCCTACTCATATTCATGCTTCCGGAATTGACACGGTTCCGACTTTTCAACATCAAAAAAGCAAAGTCGAATTCGAATTGGCGACATCGGTTCGTTCGGGTTCAGCTGATCAATTCATAAGGATAAAAACATGATATATCGGATTACATGATAAAAATCAAAGAGAATGTTTATTTAAATTTTTCTCTTGATTTTTTAGAATTTATAACATAAGATTACCTTTAAAGATTATTGACTATTTAATCTCCTAAAAAAATTTTTCTGTTATTTACTGATTAAAATATTAATATAACTTATCGTTAATATTAATATTTGTTATGATCTAAAAATTGATGTAAAAAAAAATTTGTATCATTATATATTTTTTTATAATAACAAAGAAGGAGAAAGAATTGTTATTTTAAGATGCAAAACTTACCGATTTATATATTGGAAAAGAAAGAAAAAATTGATAGCTTGCACTCTCAAGTAAAAGTGCTATTTTACCGATCTCAAGAAGTAAAACTTGTAAACTTGCATATTGAAAAAAGAACCAAGAATTACTAGCTTGCACACTTCAATAAGAGACAAAAATTACTATCTTACACATCTTAAAAGAGAAGCAAAGCTAGCATATCTCTAAAACCTACTAAGCTTGCATGTTCTATAATGAAGTAGAACTTGCATGTGTCAAAAATTGCTAGTTGCACTTCTCATATATGGAGAGAAGGTATGATGATGATCATATATGGTAAACTAAAATTTTATTATGTATGATGGTTTAGATGTAATACTTGAACTTATGATATAAGTAATAATATAATGTATTGCATTTAATTCATGATTGAAATTATGTCATATTTATAGGAGGAGTTTAGTTTAAACTCCGTCATCAATTAATTACCATCATCAAAAGGGGGAGATTATTGAATCTCTGATTTTGATGATGAAATCATTTGATGAGTTTGTGATCTTATCTGCCTTTTGAGTGATGCAGGATTAGCTTCGGTCAATGAGATGAAAATTGATTGAAGCAAAAGGAATCAAACGTTAGGTCAAAGTTGAACATATTAGGAGATTTGACGTCAGGCCGGAGGACCGATTGACATGTCGACAGAAGGACTTCGTGCCATGAGTTTGAGCATTGAGCCGAATGATTGGATATTGTGCCAAAGAGATCGAAAGTTACGGGAGTCAACATGCCGATTGGGCAATACGCTGAATAAGAGGAGGATGCGTCGAAGGATCGAACGAAGCGCCGGAAGAACCAACGACATGCCGGACAACATATGATTTATGGTTTGTAATAATTTATCTAGATCGAGTTAGTTTAGATCTAATTGAGTCGGTATTGGGATAAAACAATGTCAACTCAATTAAAGATCAATTAGGCCTGAATTAGGACTGAATTGGGCCTATTGTTTGGCCTATTCCGTGTCCTATAGTAGGGTCTGGCGGAGGTACCACCCAGACTAGGCGGTGGTACTGTCCAGACACAGTCTCCTAAACTATGTCAAGCGATGATATCACCAGACTAGGCAGTGGTATTACCTAGTATCAGTGTGTCAAACGGTGGCACCATCCAATGTCAAACTGGCAGATGATGGTATCACCCAATATTGGCAATGGTACTGTCATTACCCCGAAAATCCGAATGAGATTGTATTGGCTCCAAATTTGAATCTATTTTGGGCCTATAAAAACTCACTCATCCTTGATCGGTTAATACACAAACTGAGAACAAAAATTGGAGAAAGCACTATTGTAATCTTGTGAGAATTCATTTTCTTTAGATCTAAGTGTTGATTTCAGTTCAAGAGAAGGGTGAGTGAATCGTAAAAGTTATCTTCTAAACATGTGAAAAGGAGAAAATGATTGTAAATGGTAGTTGGTCTTTGCCCATTGAAAGAAAACTGTTAGTTGACATTGATGATCTCAATGGAGAAGAAATTGAAAGTGGATGTAAGTCACGTTGATCGAATCATTATAAATCTTATGTAATCTCTTTTGTGTCATTTCTATTTTACTTTTTCTTTATATTGTTTACTGGTTTGACTGCACAATTCAGTTTACACTTTTTTTTATGTTAAATATATTTTTGATACAGATTTAATCAAAATAAAGTTTTCCTAATCGACATCGTTTTTACGAAGTATGTGTTTGACCACTTTACTTTTGTTCACCCTCTTATTACACTTATAGGCTAATTTAGCTCTGCACATTATCGAAATGCACTATGAGCCGATTCAATTTTGATGTAAGGAATCCCATTTATTAATTGTTGTATATGCTTTTATTAATAAAAGAAAAATGTTTATAAAATTTGAGATGTGAAGTGTGTCAAGTCCGAGAGACATATGAACACCCAAGAGTTTGGAGTTGATAAATCCCAAGTTAAACTTCTTCTAGGATATATAGTATAATCCTTCCCAAGAGAGTGCAAGCTTCTCCATGGTGAGAGCCGGATCACTAACTTCGGCCGTATGCAAAACCAAGTCTCCCATCTTAATTCCAAAGTGTTGGACCTTTGCTTTATATGACTTTGCTACGAACCATTTGTACGTTAAATTCTTGAGAAGATCCCTTGCTCTGACTTCATCAATCAGGTTTAGGTTTACTCGAAGACCTAAGCCTGACACATCTACAGTAAATGTTTGGGTTTGGACAATCTATAAAATAAGCTCTGCCATTGACGGATAAGAAAGCGTAGAGGTCATGCTAGAGGGGGAGAAGCTGGCAAGGGCACTAGCTGAGTTGGTGGTGGAGGGTGACAGGAGCTGAGGGATCGAGTAGTGGAGCTACGATAAAGGGTGATAGAGGTGGTGGCGGTGGAGGGGGAGCTCGTGCAGCGCTCTAGAGGATATGGTCATGCCAACGATCCTAATTAGGTAAAAAGATGTGACAGAGTCGACGAAATGGGAATGATTCCTCTCCGCATCATCACTTCCATTCTGCTGCTTCATTCCTCTCTCTCTCTCTC